AACCATTCTGCATAATTAGCATGTATGATTTTCATGCATGTGATTGGTTACTTACTGAAAACCAATCTGCATAATTAGTATGCACTGATTTTCATGCATGTGATTGATTACTTACTGAAAACCAATCTGCATAATTAGTATGCACTGATTTTCCTGCATGTGATTGGTTACTTACCTGAAAACCAATCTGCATAATTAGCATGCACTGATTTTCATGCATGTGATTGATTACTTACCTGAAAACCAATCTGCATGATTAGCATGTATTGATTTGTTTTGCATGTGATTGGTTACTTACCTGACAACCAATCTGCATAATTAGCATGAACTGATTTTTATGCATGTGATTGGTTACTTACCTGACAACCAATCTGCATAATTAGTATGCACTGATTTTTATGCATGTGATTGGTTACTTACCTGACAACCAATCTGCATAACTAGCATGCACTGATTTTCATGCATGTGATTGATTACTTACCTGAAAACCAATCTGCATAATTAGCATGTATTGATTTTTTTTGCATGTGATCGGTTATTTACCTGAAAACCAATCTGCATAATTAGTATGCACTGATTTTCATGCATGTGATTGGTTACTTACCTGAAAACCAATCTGCATAATTAGCATGCACCGATTTTTATGCATGTGATTGGTTACTTACCTGACAACCAATCTGCATAATTAGTATGCACTGATTTTCATGCATGTGATTGGTTACTTACCTGAAAACCAATCTGCATAATTAGCATGCACCAATTTTTATGCATGTGATTGGTTACTTACCTGACAACCAATCTGCATAATTAGCATGCACTGATTTTCATGCATGTGATTGATTACTTACCTGACAACCAATCTGCATGATTAGCATGTATTGATTTTTTTTGCATGTGATTGGTTACTTACCTGAAACCCAATCTGCATAATTAGCATGTATTGATTTTCATGCATGTGATTGGTTACTTACCTGAAAACCAATCTGCATAATTAGTATGCACTGATTTTCATGCATGTGATTGGTTACTTACCTGACAACCAATCCGCATAATTAGCATGCACTGATTGTCATGCATGTGATTGATTACTTACCTGAAAACCAATCTGCATAATTAGCATGCACTGATTGTCATGCATGTGATTGATTACTTACCTGAAAACCAATCTGCATGATTAGCATGTATTGATTTGTTTTGCATGTGATTGGTTA